AGTGGGAGGGGCAGGGGAAAGGAAAGAAGGGAAAGGAAAAATGATGGGAAATGGAAAAATGGAAATAAAGTCTTTGTAAATAGAAAAGAGTGGAGGGCATGAAGGGAGGGCTAGGAATGGGGAAAATATAAGAACAAGATGCATTATGTAAAGGTACCCTTCCCAATGAGAAATGTAATTGTGTTGTAAACCTACAATGTACCAATAAAAGAATTTAATAAAGTGCAAAAAAAGAGAAAATAAATGACTGAGCATATTAAATATAACCAAATGCAAAATACCCAAAATTATTTTGGAAAATGTGGCTCCATAAAATATTTTTAATAACTGCATTCCATCATAAAGATGAGTTTTTTAAAGTAATTGACCATTGATGAATTCTTGCGTTGTTTTTGCTACTAGAAGCATCTTTGTGCACTTGGCATTTTTTTCTTCAAATAATTTCTAAAAGTGGAATTGCTTCAAATGTCAATGTTTAGTTCCAGTTTCTTAGTTCCAAAAATGCAACCAACATAGGAGTGGTGGTGCATGCCTGTAGTCCCTCCTATTCAGGAGGCTAAAAGGTAGGAGAACTGCTAAGGTAGGAGGCTAAGGTAGCAGAACTGCTGCCTTGAGTCCAGCAGTTTGAGACCAGCCTGGGCAACATAGCAAGACCTCATCTTTAAAAAAATATTTTTTCCAAAAGTACAACCAAGACAGATTGTTTTCTTCTAGTCACATGGGCTCTTACCTGAGAGTCCTTAAGGAACCTTGCATCCTTCCTCTTTCAGAAGAGAGGCAGCAATTCTGTCAGCGTGTTTCAGCTGTTGTAACACTAATGTCACAAGTTGGAAGTCATGGTCTGTCACGTGGGGGTGCTCTATGCCAGAACTGGATAGCTCCCTAAGTTATGATGTAAACTGAGTACTACAAACATTGTCAGAGCTCTTAAGGAAAGTGTCCAGGCATTTATGTACTGAGATATTAGTAAACCATCAATCTTCTAAATGTCAAATATACTAGAAAGTTCAAACATATCTTGGCATCTAAATTTAAACTGATAAACTATCAATAACTCACATCATCTCACTTATTATTTGGTTTTAAATTTAATTTTTTAATATGACAAGAATTTTATTTTTGCAATTTTTATTAATATATGATCATCCTCTGGGTTTAAAAAGTCTTGGCCCTTTAAACAAATTTCTAAGGCAATTTTACAATTCATTTGAAAGGTGACAGATACCACACACTCCTACAACCTCAGCCACTTTACAAAACAAAGGGAAAATTGCTATGAAACTCCTAAGAAATGTTATTATAATTTAGAGCAGCTCTATATTTACTCATTTCAATCAGTGTGTCTTAGATTGCCATGTACATTTTGATTGTGACATGCAAACATGGATTCTGCTTTGGAAAATGGTTAACTTGCATGCAGATTTTTGTGAAGATTCATAATCCCCAAAACAAAGGAGGGGGAATGAGCATTATAGGTCTGACTCTGCCAACACACACTTAGAAGAAAGACTTTCACAGCTGTACAGACAGGGAGAGAAAAGAAGTCATGGGATCAAGGTACTAAATCGTCAGGCTGCCAACAGTATCCAAATAGTTACCAGCTTCCGTGTATGACGTGTTTTCAAAGTGGAAAAGAAGTTATTAGAGACTGATTCAGACCATCAGTTACCATTACTTTATACAGTGTCAGTGTAATTCAATTTAATCTCCTTTAACCATTAAAAAGTTTAAGACTCCATTCCAAGGTAATAGTTCATTTTAAATCTACTTTAATAAATTATACATGTATGAATTTGTATATGTATGTTCTCTATGTATCATTTTAAAGTATATAAGACATCTTTGATAATTAAACAGATAAGCCATGTTGATATTAATAAGTCATTTTAAATCTACTTTAATAAATTATACATGTATGAATTTGTATATGTATGTTCTCTATGTATCATTTTAAAGTATGTAAGACATCTTTGATAATTAAACAGATAAGCCATGTTGATATTAATAAGTTTAGACAAACTGTCACTGACTTTAATACACTATTGACTAAGAAAAGGTAGTTCAAGGCTTTAGCTTTGAGCTTGATAAAAATGTCAGGGTATGTTTGAGAAATCTGTCCTTACAGACTATAAAAGTAACTATAATACTTTAATATTTCCAAAAGAATACAAAGTCAATTATTTTTCCTTTATAAGTAAAGTTAGACTATCTCATTTGGTATTTTGACAATCACGATTTAGGTTTGCCTATATATTCTGGGGTGAAGGATAAGACAAGTTGGCCAAAATAAAAGGAGATTTTTACCAGACTACCTTTTGGTATTCTTCAGTAAATTCATAAGGAATCATTTTCCAACACAGGAGTGTACCCAGTGCTTTGAAGTAAAACTAGTGGCCTAAAGCTTTGTCTCACTTTGGTAAAAGTAGAACATAAATGAATCTCCAACTTCAGAATTACATATTTGTTAGAATGGAGCTTGGATAAAAATGTTAAAATCATTAATTAGGGAAGGAAATGTCTCCATTAATTCAATCTATTAACCAAAAGTTTCACAGGAAAATAAAAATCTACTAAGAAAAAAAGGAATGTACATTTGAATTATATGCAATCTGTAATTCTGTAAGAATGGTTAGAATTCAAAAATCTTTGTAATAATATTATATCTGGTGAAATCAAATTCCAATACAGTACCTGAGATTCTTCCTTCTCCAAAGAAGAAATTAAACTAATTATATAATTTGCTAATACTCTGCAAATTCCAATTCACAAGTACTGTATGCAAAATAGGATAAATAATATATGGATATATCAATGAAAAGCTACAATTGGTAATTCCAATTTTTGCTACCTTGGCAATATACTGTACATATACTACATCAATATAATAGAAATGGTACAGTCTCTGAGGACACATTCCACATTTTATTTAAATTTTAAGACTAATCTCAAAATCACATATCCATGCACCTATTTCCTTTTGTTCACTTCACCTAAACTTAAATGCATGGTTTATTTAACAAAGACTGTAAACAAATATTTACCATGTCTATTACATGTAACACACAGGAATAGCTTTTGACAGAAATTCATCAACGCCTCCAACATTTTTTTATTATAAATACAGGTATAAAAATAATCCTGAACATATTTTTGATACTACTAGTAGTCAGTACCCACACTGCTTCAAGAATTAACACAATTTGTGACAATATTCATTGTACCTGCTACTTTGAACAATTTCAAACTGTAGCTCTTTCACTAAGCAAGATGGATAAGCACGCCATTTCTGTTTTTCCTTCTTGAGATTTTACTTTTCAGAAACACACGTTTCCACTGACATCTGGCAATTTTTGCCATGCTTTCATCTTGTAAACCTGAATTGTATTTGGAGTACTCCAGGTTCTTGTTTAAATGACAGTGCCTTAATAAGAGAAAGAAAAATTGTGCCACATTTTTCCTCCTGTTACCTGAAAACATAATGGGTGTACATATATTAAATATATTCTTAGAAATGTCCAGGTCATGTTTACCAGCTGGAATTCTTTTACTTAATGTGCAGGTATTTTGTATTGTGATATTTAATCAAGACATTAATATGAATAGAAGGTTGTTGATTAAAGACAAGTTTGAGATCCACTAAAACTAATTGTTTTATGTTTGTCCTTCTGGTGGTTGTGGAAGCTTCATATTTTCTTTGGACATCATTAGACATCTTAGCTCTTGAAATACAACTTTAATGCTATATGAATTCTGCCATTTTGCTAACACTGGTATGCTGCGTGAATCCACCATTCCACTAGAATTATTTATTCCATTCATATTAATTTTTGTTACAAATCTAACTGATGGAGGAACTTCTGGGTATTTAGGTCCACATCCTATTTTCAGGGTATATATTCTGTTTTCATAATTTGTCTTTTTTCCTCTCTATCTGGAATGTTCTCCCAATCACCACCTTCCAAAATCCTACCAGTCTGTCATTTAAGGTTCATTCCAAAGGCAACTTCTTCCACTGCTCAGCTTTCCTCAATTATTCTAGCCTTCGTGGCCCAATAATCATGCCTGTCCACCTTGTAAGTATCATATCTTCATCATCTTCAAGGCCCCAGCTAACCATACCATCACCTACTCCTTTTTGTCCTTCCTCAAGTTCTTCCTACAAGCGAAAATTACGAGGAACTTTAACTCCTTTGGAGACCGCCGACTTCTCCTACAGCCCGACGCAGCTGCCTGAACTCACTAAATTTAATTTTTAATTGACAGATAACATTGCATGCTTTTATGAGGTACAACATAATTCACTTATAACATGAGAACTACAGATTCAATTAATTTAGGTAATATCTTTCTTATAAGATGGTTTCTGCTTAGATGGCCAAGGATTTCAAAGAGGATTTTCTTGAAAACTAAAAGCATTACCTTAGCAACAAACACTCACATTAATGCAAACTCATTATGTGCCATTCACCATTTTAACCACTCAACAAATATTAATTCAAACTCCATAATAACTCAATGTAGTAGGTATTTAAAATGCTCAACTGCCAAATGTGGCGGTGCATGCCTGTATTCCCAGTACTCAGGAGACTGAGGCAAGAGGGTTGCCGAAAGTTCAAGCCCAGCCTGGGCTACATAGTGAGTTCAAGGCTAGCTTTGACTACATAGTGAGACCTTGTCTCAAAAAAATAAAATAAAATAAAATACTCAACTGAAAGTAAAACAGAGAAAAGTATAAATTTCTTGGCATCATACAACAAATTTGATACCACTGACACTGCAGAACGAGGATTGGAACTCAGGTAGCCTGACACTAAATCCCATGTGTTTCCCCAGCACTGTATGCTGCTTCTTGGTGCTTAAGGTCAAAGAAAGGTACATAAGGTTTTAAATGTTTATATATTTTGCCACCTGGCCCTTCACAATAACTTTGTCAGTTTTTTTAAAACTCACAAAAGGCACATGAGAATTATCTGTTTTCTTGGTTCCTTCTCAGCAATGAGAATTGCTATATCCTTTAATTTTGCAATCTGATAAGAAAAAGAGAATATCTCTTGTTTTATTAACATTATACATGGTAAAAACATGCAAATTTTAAAAGGTTTATTTGCTAATTGCTCATATATTCTGTCCATATGTGATTATTTCATTCATCCTCTCCTTATTGATAATTTAGAATTTTTGTTATTCTGGTAAAGGGAATTGAACTCGGGACCTTGCGCTTGCCAGGCAAGCGCAGTACCACTAAGCTAAATCCCTGGCCCTATTTTAGAATATTTTTGAGAGAGAAGGTCTTACTGTGTAGGCCAGGCTGGCCTTGAACTTGCAGGAATCCTCCTGCCTCAGCCTCCTAAGTGCTGGAATTATATATGTGCACCATCACCATGGCCAGAATTTTTTTTATGGAAATTAATCTTTTGTTTAGTAGATAAATGGTAAAACTTCCCTAATATTGTCATTATATTACAATCTTGGTTTGGCCTTCTGCTTTCAGAATACTTTATAGTAGTTTAAATCCTGCCATATTAAAGTTTTTCAACATTGTTATATTCCTAGATTTTAAAATCATGCTGGTAAAGATTTTTACCACCAAAGTTTTAAAAAAAATATGCATCCATCTTTCTTTGAAATATATTTATAATTTTATATTTTTCTTAGCTTAAATCTTTGGTCCATCCAGAATTTATCTTGATGTGTACAGTAAAGTAGAGCCAGCTTATTTTATTAAAAAATTGCAAGATAGTTGACCCAATATCCATTAATATATAGCTATATAAAAGGAAATTATGAAGACAGAATGGAGAGAATGTTGTATCTTGTGTCTAGATGTCCCCTGAAAGCTTCATGCAGTCATAGCTGGAGCTTTTTCAGAGGTGGCTGGATCTAGAGTGTGTGATGCTGGCATTGATTCATGGTGCAATACTAGGATCAAGAGTGCTAGAATTAAGGGTGTGAGTGCTACCTCCCCTAAGGAGCCTGGATAAAGATATAATGGATAAAAAGAGCTGTGGTCATATCCCTTGCTTGCTTTGCTGCCTTGTGCCCACCATGAATTATTTCTTCCCTATAATGCTTGTCTGACATGCTGCCCTGCCTTGGAGCCAGCCAATTATGGACTGAAACTTCTACAAACTGTAAGTTAAATAAACTTTTCCTCCTTTAACTTTGTGTGTTGGATAATTCATCTCAGCACTGAGGGAAAAGTAACTAAGACAAGAAAGCATATTATACAGAAATTAACAAAGAATTACAGAAGATTTCTCATAAGGAAATATGCAAGCCAAAAAACAATGTAGGGAGATCTTTTCTTCACTAAAAGACAAAGAAAGTTTTAAATTGCTAACCTATAATTCAATACTTAGCAAAAACATTTTGTAGAAATGCAGGTTAAATAAAGACAAAAGTTGAGATTATCCACAGCCATCATACCTGTATTACAAAAATGTTAAAGGAATTCTTCATATAGAAAAATTATAGTATCAGCTGGAAACTTTGATCCACACCAAGAAATAGAGTGCTAGAAGCCATAGAAATGAAAGTAAGTATAATATACATTTTTTTCTTATTTGTGATGGCTTTAAAAGAAAATTCACCAGCTACAACAAAAATAAAAACAATATGTTTTGGGGTTTTTTTAAACATAATAGAAGGAATGAATTGATAGTATACTATTCTCACAATATAAGAAATAAAATAATGTTACTGGAAGGTAGATTATAATAAGTAATGAGTTTCTACAGTATTATAAACCTTAGGGCAGCCTTAAAAAATTTTAGAGAAGTAGAACTAATAATCTAATCATTGGGATAAAATATAATCATAAATAAATGCCCAATTAGTACAAAAGAAGGCAGAAAAGCAGAAATAAAGGGAAAAAGAGTAAAGAGACAAATGCAAGACAAGTAACAAGATGATAAACTTAAATTCAACCTTAATAATAATTACATAAATTGCAAAGAGACTAAATGTAACAATTAAAAGAGATTGGGAAAGCAAGATCCAGATATAGTTTTCCAAAGGAAACTAACTTTAAATAAAGTACATAAATTAAAGGATGAAAAAATACACTATGCATACATTAATTTTTAAAAAGCCGGAGTAGCTATATCAGCATTGCAAAGTAGACTTCAGAATAAAAAATATTGCTACAGGGCTGGGGATTTAGCTCAGTGGTTCTGCTGCTTGCCTCAGAAGCGCAAGGTCCCAAGTTTGATCACCCAGTACCAAAAAAAAAAAAATATATTGCTACAGATAAAGAAAGGATATTGCCTAACAATAAAGGTATAAATTCACCAGGAAGATACAACATGTATTTTTAAGCTGTTAACTGATGCTTTCACCAAGAAGACACAATCCTAAATGTGTATACATACTAAAAACAGCACTTCAATATATGTTGTCTGTATATATACAAAGGGTGATAGAATTGAAAGAAATAAACACTTTCACAGTCATAGTTGGAGATATCAACATTTCTTTCTCAATGATTGAGCAAATAGACAGAAAATCAGCAAAGACATAAAAGACATGAACACTTTGACCTAATTAAAATTTATAAACTATTCCATCTAACAGGAATAGCATGCACATAATTTTCAATATGTATAGAACTTTCATATTGATCTTTTTCTGAACCATGAAGTAAATCTTAGCAAACTCAAGAGATCTGAAGTCATATAAAATATCCTTCTTACTACAGTGGAGTAGAAGTAGAAATCAAAATCAGACATCTGGGAAATCCTTAAGTAACTGGAAATTAACAATATTAAGTTGTTCCTTTGAGAACAAGATGCCACATTATTTATTCAAGCCTTCTTTTATGTCTCTGGGTTGGGATTAACTATTCTACTCATCATTCATACTCATCACTTTTAAAGTTTATATTACATATTTTGTTTTATATTGTTGTTGTGGTTGCTTCTGTGAATAAGACTTTTATTAAATTGTATCTTATGACTGATTATTATTTGTGTCTAATGACTCTGATTTTGTACTTTAAAAGATCTGGCCATCTTACTGAACACAATACTTCTAATAATTTTTTAGTATTTCAATTATGAGATCAGATCCTTGGCAAATAATAAATTTCCTCCTTCCTTGAAAATATTTACATGATAATTTCTTCATTCTTTTATCTCTTCATATTAACACTTTCAGAACAGACATTTTTTGTTTGCAGTGCTGAGAATTAAACCCAAGACTTAACATATCTAGCCAAGTGCTCTACAACTAAGATAAGTCCCAGCCAAGGGGATGTTGTTTCGTTCCTTACTTAGATGGGCAGGCTTCTTGAGCTTCACTGGTCTTACAAAATCATTTCTAAAGGCCACAGTGAACTGACAGGGGTGTGACAGTTGATACAATACAATTGTACTTTGCAAAAGAAACTGGAGAACCTAGTTCTGCACAGTGAACACATCCTGATGGGGGTGGTGGGTGGAGAATGGTGATCTAAAAGCCTCCCACTTCAGCAGAGATCTAGGTGTGCTCAGTCACAGAAGTAGAGCTCCATTATCTGAAGCTTTCCAGGTAGTTTTTTGTGGACTTTTGCAGAAGGGGCAGAGTTCAAAATGTAGTTTAAAAGCCATGTTGACACTGCCTCTCTTATAGCCTGAACTTCTACAACGTGAGATCTGAGCCTTTTTGTTCTTGGAGTGTCCTCTGAACAAGGTAACACCTCAAACCCTTTTGGCTTTCAGGTATTAGCTGGAAGTCACCCTCAGGTGAAAGGAAGACAGACACTGCTGGGTTTCAGGAGTTGGGAGCCTCCTGCCATAAGGAGTAAAGTACAAACCTCCCTCACTCATTTTACACCCCCTCTCCCCCAGGCCTTAGAACATAATCAAATCTCAGCAGAGAAAATTCACACCTCTGATTGCCTGATGAGTAGCTGAATGAAAGAGCACAGTCTTTGGTGCCAGAAAAGGCTGGCCATTCCCTGACATGTGAGCCTGGAGGTCTCAAACTCTATGGTGGAGGTCATAAAATCTGCTTCACAAGAAAGGCAGGAATACCATTCAGCAATACACAAAAACTTCCATCCCAGTGCTAGGTGCAAAAATCATTATGGGTTTGCCCTCCTCTTGT